ATCAGATCAGGACCCTCCTCTGCTGAGGGTCCCCCAGCAAGCCTCCTGCCCTCCAAGAACAGAAAGGCTCTGTGAGCAGAAGGGTTTCTCCTGGAGTCAAGCTTCGCCGCACAGATGCCCGGCATCGCTTTCCCGGGGAAATTTGGGTCCCAAACCGCCCAGGTCCCGTCTCCACCTCCAGGGAAAAGCCACCCCAGCTGTGTCCCTTCTGACTCAAACTCTCACAACCGGCTTCTCTTGGTCCTCAGGCACGCAGGGCCTGCCTCAGCAGGACCCTGACGCCGGGCCTGTGTCATCTCTGGGCACACCCTGCCCTGCTCACTCTGTTTAAGCCTCAACAGGTCTGAGGTGGGGGCGGGGGAGGGATCCTCATTGGGCCCCCATCTGCCTTGGAGGCCCATCCTTGACCCCTGACCAACCCCTGTGACTCTCCCGTGGGCGCAGGGTCTATCAGGCTCATAGCAGTACTCAGGGTCTATCAGGCTCATAGCAGTGCCTTGGTCGGCATAGTGGGCTGAATGCCTCGTCTTCCCCACCAGAAGGTATGTCCCCATCCCAGGACCTGTGGGTGCCACATTCTTTGGAATAAGGCTGTGGGCAGGTGCGATTTATTTATTTATTTGTTTTTACAGCGTTGGGGATGGAACCCAGAGCCTCACTCATGCTGAGCGTCTGTTCTGCCACTGAGCTGCAGCCCGGCCTGTGAAGATGCAGTCTAGTGAAGAATCTTGAGACCGTCCAGGATTAGGCTGGGCCTGCAATCCAATGAAAGAAGCCTTTGTAGGAAACAGAGAGGGAGGAGCACAGAGACACACTGAGGGGAGGGCATGTGAAGATGTTGGCAGAGAGATGTCTGCAGCAGCCACCAGCCATGGGATGCATGCCCCTGTAGAGTTCCCAGGAGGGTAAGTCTCCTGACACTTTGATTTTGCACTTCTGGACTCCAGAACACGAGGCAATAGATTTCCATTTTTTAAACCACTCGGTTTGTGGTTATTTGTGACGGGAGCCACGGGAATCTGGGATCTCCGGTCCGTGTTTCCCGGGAGGCTGTGAGCTTTCTGAGGCTGCTCCAAGATTGCCATTTGTTACCTARAGGGTCTCCCAGGTCTGGCCTGAGCTGTTCCTCAAGAACTGTGCCCAGTGACTCATCCATGAACCAGCAAGTAGGAGCAGGGTCCCCAGGAAAGAGGGGCTCTCCTTGAGCCAGAAAAAAAAACAAACTTGGAATGTGGGTCACGGGGGACTTCCKCAGCCCCCGGGGTTGGTCGAGCTTCTTCTGCACATTCCTTGACATGAGTGATCAGAGGACAAATGTGAGTGCTCTTGTCAGAGTCACTTTGTCACTTAATTACTTAGTCAAGGAACGCTCTGAGAGTCAGTTATGGACCAGAGTCACTCTGGGCACTGGCGATGCAAAGCTCATTAGGACATGGTTGGTGACCTCAGGGACACTCTGGAAGGGGCCCTTCTGAGTGGTGCCCTGAGGTTGTCGCTCCTTCCCTCCTGACAGGGAGATGTGCATTTGAATAATCGGAGTTTGAGAACTCTAGGCCTCTCGGGGATGGAATTAGCCAACCATGAAAGCATTTTTAAGATCTGGGGGAGAAAAAATGAGTACAGGAACTTGAAAGCCTAGATCTAAATGGAAAAGAATCTAGATGTTTATTGTCCGCATTGTGCTGTTTTGAGATGGAATTTTGGTGCAGTGAGATCTCAAGACACCGATGACCTATCTCAGGGATTTGAAGTCATCGTGTAAAAGGATGCACACCCACACTCCTCCTTCAGCCCCTGCTACATGCAAAGGAAAACAAAAGAAACTCAAAATGCTGGCAGACTCTGAATACACTCAGAGTGAAAACCACAGTTTGCTTGGCAGCCCAACAGGCTCTGCATCATCTGCCTGATCACCTCCCTGCCCTCTCCTCCTCCAACTCTCACACCATTCCCTGTGCTCCAACCTCACTGGGCCCTTGACTGGCTCCTTCAACAACTCAAGCATGTCCCAGCCTCAGGGCCTTTGYACAGGCTATTCCCTGTTCTTGGATGCCTTTCCCTCAGTATCCACACAGCTGCTCCTGACTTCCTTTGTCTACTCAAATGTCACTTTTTTGGCAGGCCATTTGCTGTGCTATTTTAAAATGTACCCAACACTTTCCACCCACTAGTTTTCTATTTCTCCATTATCTAGCACATTTTACATTTTATTTATTTATGCTTATTTTCTTTTTACCCTTACTTACCATCAGCTCCACAGGGATAGGGATTTTATTTTGTGTGTGCTGGGGTGGAACCCAGGCCTGGCACATGCTAAGCTAGCACTCTACCACTGAGCTGCACCTCAGCCCAAGGACAGGAATTTTTAACTTCTGTGTTCCCAGAATCAAGACCTGGCCAACACACAAGAGGTGCTCAATAAATGCTTATTAAATGGATGAGTGCTAACTAAGTGACTGGCACTGTCATTAGCAATGAGAACAACAAATATTTAAGATAGGTTTTCTGCAAGGTACTTTAGATATATTTGCTATTTTTTTCCCACAGGGGTGGGGGGAATCCATCCCAGGGTCTTGTGCAGGCTAAGTGCCTGCTGTGCTGCTAGGCTACCCCTCGCCTGGGAGCTGCGTTGTCACTGTGCTTCCCTCATGCATCCCCTCACTAGTTGTTACAGCATCCCTAAAAGACCTGCACCTGCGTTTCTCCCATTTTTGAAAGGAGGCCACTGAGAATCAGATGTCACTTGCCCAAGGATACACAGCAGCAGAGTGATAAAGCCCGGATCTAAACCCAGGCCGCTGAGCTCTGGAGCCCAGTGCTCTTCTATTGAATGAGTGGGTTGTCAGGAGAGGCCTCAGGAGGGAGCCTGCTAAGTTTAGGGGCTTCCTCAGGCTGGCTGATTTGGCTCCTGGAACTCAGCAGAGCACTGACCCAAATGACTCCAGACTCACCTTCTTTGGGGTTACAAGCTGTGGGCCAAGAACCCTTCACATCCCCGAGGAATGATGACAAGAGCTGGGACACAGCGCTCGCTCTAGCCGGTGCCTCCCTAGTGTGCACATGCCTGTCTCTAGACAGGACATTCTACAGACCCAGGARAGAGGTACTATCTCGTGCCCATTTTATACCTGAAGAAATGAAGGCCAGAGAGGGTAGGTCACTTGCACAAGGTCACCTAGCTAGAAAGTCATCAAGCTGAGGCTCAAACCTGGAAGCAGGAATAATGGCTGCAGAACAATCAGGGGCCACCAAAATGATGGACTGAAACTTCACACGATATGGGTAGAGTTGACAAGATGGCTGCGTTACCCTGTCGTATCACGTGGGGGGCGGGAGGGGGTGTAGGGTACATAGCATTTGAGTTAAAACAAAAAAACTGCATTCCCTGCGGCACCTCAGCAAAGTACTTGAGAAAGTGGGAACCTTGGGGGTGGAGGTGAACGCTGCGGCTGAGGGAGGATCTTACGCCCTGAACCTTTTGCAGTTTTTATTCCTGTGCAGCCACAAAAATCAAACTCAAAAATGAGCAGTTATGCTCGTGCTTATGTAAGCACACCCTTGGATCCACACCAAAAAAGTGTCGCACCACTGCCTGCCTGTCCTGGTGAAGTGGGAAAGGGAGGGTCGGAGCTCAGCTCCACCACATGGACATTTCGAGGTTATACCATTTGTTTTTGAGGTGCCGGGGTGGAACCTGGGGCCCTGCAGGTGCGTGCAAGCGCTCTGCTGCTGAGCCACACACCCCGCCCCTTACTACAAGGAGTTTCCCATCTCCTACCCTCCTCTCCTGGTCACCAGGCAGCTCAGCCACACTGTTTGTGGAAGTTCCTAGAACTTCAGGAACATTGTGGTCACCTGCAGCACTTCAATATGAAATCCACAGGGACCTGTTTCAGAAAGACAACTCTGGCAGGGGTATGGGGGGGACACCCCCCCCCCCCCAACTGAGGCCTGGGTCAGTTCTGTAGCAAATGTGGCCCGGGGGCCTGGGCTGGTGAACAGCTTTCAATACTTCCTTTTGGCTCCAGTCTCAGGCTCACTTTCTGCCTGGGGGAGCCTCTCCTGGCTCCAGGAAACCGTTCGTGGGTATTATACCTGGTAAAAAACCCTCTAGACCTGCACCATCCAACAGATGCCACTAGCCACAAACACATGGTGGCTGAACCCTTCATTTGTGATTGGAGCACTGCAACTATCTTAACCTTCACGCTGTTCCCACTGTTGGAGAGTTGCCTTGGGCAGTGCTGTCTGAGACTGTGGCCAGCGATCATTTCAATGGGAAGGGGAAGCTGTTCTTAGCTCCAAGCAGTGTGATTTTTTTTTTTTTTTTTTAAACTAAATAGCATCTCCTGCCTTGCTCATGAGGCAGCAGGGATTAGCATACAAGAGGCCCTGGTTTTATCCTCCACTATTGCCAAAAACAAAGTACCACTTTGTAGCTAAATAGAATTGCATTTTTGTAAGCCTGTATAATTACTTACCTTATAATAAAACCAGTTCCTTAAAAAGTTACAAAGTAAAAGCCTCAGTAGCCAACAAATAGGAGGCAGGAAATGGATCTTCCCAGGGCGGGGTCAGCTCCTGGGAGGCCAGAATTCTAGTTCTGGTTTGGCAGAGCCTGTCAGACAGCCTGCCCTGGCAGAAAGCCTGACAGGGCATTAGAAATACAGATCACACCTCTCCTTGGCCCCGGTGACCAGGTCACCAGGCAAAGCCAGAGTCCTAACTGGAAGACAGGCAAGAACATCTAGGAGCCAGCCCCTACCCCAGCTTTGGCCCTAACCTTCACCAAATGAGCAGCATCCACCGTACTTGAGTCTTGCTGTTTGGATGGGTTAGCGTTCCCTAACCCAGCAAGGCAGACTTATCTTTGCCCTGCAGAGGATGCCCTCCTGCCTCCTGCCCACCCCGCCCTCTCCCTGACTGCCTTTGGAGGGATGCCCAGGCCCCCACCCCATCCCCAGAACCAGCAGAGCCCTCAAACAGAGTCGCAGGACCGCTCCCCTGAGGTTTAGCATCAGTCTTTAATGCTGTCACGCTGCATAATGACAAGTCACACACTTTGGTCTCRTGTCGGCAGTGGCAACTTACAATAAGTCTAAAGGTCTGAGCACCAGACTGGTCTCCAGAGAACAGACATTTTTTTTGTTCCAACTTTCCCACTCCCAAGGTTTCTTCCGATTCTTGGCTCTGTACAGAGAGCAGCAGCTGCCATGGACTGTTTTCATTTGAGTGCACACCAACTTTACATGGAATTATAAAAACATATTTACAGACGTTCCACAGTGCTCCTGTAATCAGAAGCAAAGACCCTTTTATCAAAAGGGATTATATCTAGGGCTGTGCAAAATTCAAAGGGATCAGATCCCTTTGAGAAGAGTCCAGAGTCCATTAAACAAAAAAATTACCTGGGCCACTGGTTAAGCCTCAGGTGTGCCAAAGGATTGCTTTATGGACAAAGAAAAGAGTGTGACCCATAAATCAGCACTTTCAGTGTCACCAGAGCCAGAGGTCAGGAGGACCCCCTGCTCCAGCCAGGCCACCAGGACCTGGGGGGAGAGGTGGGTGCGAGACTCACTCCCTGAAGGCTGGCTCCCTTGGTCCTGCTGGAACGAGGTATTGCTGTGGTGCCAGCCAGGCAGTTCTGCAGAACTGATTTAGGTTCTCAATTTGAGATGGTCAAAGAGAAGAGAGAATTCTTCAGGGGACAAGCAAGGTGTGGGAGGCAAATACAGAATAAAACACGAACCGATCATACAACACAAACTGAGGAGTGCACAGGGTCTGGTGACCAAGATGGCAGGTTGACACCATCTAACAGCAGGAAGCAAAGGGTCTACAGAGGGATCAAGTCCAGCTGTGGGCCTGTCTCTCGCCCCTGGGCAGGGACTGGAGGAGCAGAAGGTGGGCCCATCCCAGGAGGGCTGCAGGAACCAGTAGGGCAGACTGTAATGCCCTTCTCTGCTGTGCCCACCACCTGCCGCTCTATCGCTCGAAAAACCACTTAAGTCTAGTGCACGACTTTGAAAGATTGTAATATATTCTCTGGAAAACATTCAGCAGTACGAAAGCCCTCCCTGGGCCCTCCCGCCTCTCTCTGTCCACAACTGGTGAACGGTCCGGAAATCCTTGAGCTGTGGAAAGGTCCCTGGTTAGTCCTTGGGGAACGCAGGTGACTATATTGGAAGAACCTGCTCAAGTACGGTTCTTGACGTCTGGGGAATCCTTTCTGGGAAGATCACTTCAAACTCGATAATGAGGTCCCCGCGTTTCTCTGGCGTTTTGGGGAGGGGGAGGCCTTCTCCAGGAACTTTTCGCCGCATGCCAGGCCTGATGACATCTTTGAATACGACGGGTATGGTCCTGCCGTCCAGAGTGGGGACGTTTACTGTACAGCCACACAAAGCCTTGGAAAACAAATGGACAGCATTAGATAAACACAGCTTAGGAAGCTCAACTCTTGCCTACAGGTTTTTTGGTGCAGGGTCAGATCCATCAGGCCTCTGAAGCTAAGACCCTGCCCCAAATCTGCCCATATCACCAGCAGGGAAGCTCAAGCTCTGGTCAGTCTTGCTCTGTGCCTCCAAGTCTGGCATAAACCACATGCTCAGAAATACTTATAGAACAAAAACTGAATGGCTTCAAAAAGCAGCTGCCTCCCTGCACAGGGCCCCACCTAGTCCCTTACCTCTCGAAGGGTAATCCTGGCAGGATAAATGACGTCAGAACCATCTCTCTTAAAGATATTGTGTGGCTTGTCCTTTAAAACAAAGACAATGTCAGCTGGAATGTTGTTGGAGGTCTGGTCTCCTTCCTTGGGGAAGGTGATTTTGGTCCCTTCTTTCCACCCCCTCTTCACTTCAATGGTCAAAATTTTGTCTTCGTTTCGAATGCTCTTTCCATCGGGGTTCAGCCGCTTGTGTGAGATTTTCATCTTCTTGGTACAGCCGCTGTAAATTTCTTCAAGGGAGACCCTCAGGTCGTGGGTGACAGGGGGATCTTGCTTCTTCCGGGTGGGCTCTTGGGGAGGGCGGGAGCGACCAAAGTTCATGTTGGTGAAGCCACCCATGCCCATGGGAAAACTGGAGAATGGGTCATCGATGTCCATGCCTTCCTCTCCGTTCCGCTGCCCAAAAAAGGTATCAAAGGGATTTCTGCCACCAAAGAATTCAGCAAACATGGCATGAGGGTCTCCATGGAATGTGTAGCTGAAAGAGGTACCGTTAGCACCACCGCTGCTACCGCCACTGGGGCCACCRCCCTTTAGGCCTGAAAAGCAAAATCAGAATCTGTCAGTTGGTTGACCAGGTGCTTCTCTCTAGCTTTCCTTAAGAGAGAAAACAAACAAACAAACAAAAAACAAAAACAAAAACTTGGGAACCCTGGACCAAGAATTCTTTAAATACTGTCAAGGAAGAATCCTAAGCTTTACCACTTTCAGCAGCAGCAGCAGCAGCAGCAATAAAAAGACCACCCACTCTACTTCACTGTGACATGTCAGTGGCAAAGGGCTTAAGCTCTGAGTTGGCCACCTCCAGGTGCCACTCAGGTCCTTCCACTTATTGACTGACCCATCCTCCCAGTTGTTACAAGGTTTTACAAAAAACTCACTAAAAGAAGGGTAAGAAAAAGGCACGATTCAGAGGAGCATTCAGAGGGGCCTACTCCAAACGCCCGAGGGCTGGAGATGTGCTGAGAGTAGGAATCAATGAAGGTAGGCACACCGACAGTTTTCAAGTTCTCTCTGCTATCAATCGCCATCACCCCGAAACACAAAGTCAGTTTATTTCTTAGGCTCAAGCCCAGAGGTCAGTCTGAGTCATCGGCGGCCAGCGGACGACAGGGTCGCGGACCGGCCCCAGGCGCGCTGCCGGCTCCCGCACCTGGACAGCGGCCTCGCGCCCCGCCCCGTACGTGCCTGGCGCGGAGCTGGGTCAGCGTCTCGCAGGGATTACCTCACCCGGCCGCAGGGCCCCGCCGCGCCGCCCGCACCCTCCCCGGCTCCCGCGCCCCGGGCCGCTCGGGGACGTGGGCGGCACCCCGAGAGGGGCGGCCCCAGACCTACTAGAAGCTTCTGAGCGAGCGGCGCGTCCAGGACTCCTCCTCCCACCCGGAGGCCGCCAATCCGAGGGCGGAGGCCGCGCGGCCAGAGGGCGGGGGCCACTCGCCCCGGGCCCGCTTAGTCCCCCGGGGGCCGGAGAGCATTCGGCGTGCCTCRGTTTCCCCGCCTGTCAAACGGCGGGGGCGCACCCGCACCGCGCGCGCACACGCACCTTCCTCCCCGTAGCGGTCGAAGATCTCGCGCTTGCGCGGGTCGCTGAGCACGTCGTAGGCCTCGGCGATCTCCTTGAACTTCTCCTCGGCGCCGGGCTCCTTGTTCTTGTCCGGGTGGTAGCGCAGTGCCTGGCGGCGGTAGGCCCGCTTGATCTCGTCATCCGACGCGCCGCGGGCCAGGCCCAGCGTCTGATAGTAGTCCTTGCCCATGGCCCCCACCTGCGGCCCGCCGCCCAGCTGTCGCCGTCCCCCGGCTCCGCCGCCGCCCCGTCCTGGACTCTATATACCCGTCCGGCGGAAGCTTCCAGAGCCCGCCAGCCCCCTCCAGAACCTTCCGCCCCGCCCCTCGCGCGGCGACGGCCAATCGCCGGTGCTCAGCCCGTGACGCGCGACATCCGGGGCGGGGCCAAGCCGCCAACGGCCGACCGCGCGGCGATACGCCCCTTCCCACTGTGCTTTGGGCAACGCCTCCCAGTGGCGCGCGCACAGGCCGACGGAGTCCCGCCCACCCTCCAGAGAGAGCCAATCGCGATCTTCTTTCCGTATCTCCGATAACAGGGCCCGTCTTGCGCCCAGTCCCTACCCATAGGTTACGAGGCGTTCCTGAACCTCGGCCGAACGCGCCCCTCCGGGAAGGGGCGGGGCCTGAGGCGACCCCACTCCTCGAGGCTGCCCCGCCTCTTCGGAAGGTGACAGTCTGACTGCTGCGCTCTCTCACTGCTGGCAGTGGCTCTGGGCACACTACCCGACCTCTCCGCCCAGGTTCTCCTGCTGTAACACGGGCTAAAAGTACGCTCTCGCCCTCCTCTCGTGGCTGTAGGGATGCAACCGAGAGCCCCAAGACTGTGCCTTGTCCAGTCAAGCGAGTTGAAGACCCGGGACCAAAGCTCACCTCCCTGAGGAGAYCTTCACAGTCCTGCCCTTCAGGCCTTTCACTTTACAGTCTTCTAAAGAGCTAAATCTGAAATTAGCTTGTTCTTGGCTTTCATGCTGAATGTCACCTTCCTCCAGTCTGGGATTGCCACGAGGCAGGCACTGGCCCCCGTGTTGGGTCTCCAGTACCTGCAGCAGGGTCTGGCACAGTTGCAGTGCACACTTCATAAATACACCTAGTGGTTTTTTTTTTTTTWAATATTTATTTTTTAGTTCTCGGCGGACACAACATCTTTGTTGGTATGTGGTGCTGAGGATCGAACCCGGGTCGCACGCATGCCAGGCGGGCGCGCTACCGCTTGAGCCACATCCCCAGCCACACCTAGTGGTTTTTACACACGTGCTTCTTTTTCTCTTCCCACTACCTTTATGATCTGGGGATCATCTGTAGGTTACGTGGTGATCTTGTTTGGTTCTGAAAGTCTGGGGTGCCCCTGGTCAAGGACACCAYACTGATGATGAGGGAAAAGAGGCTTAGAAGGGGGCACCACTTGAGAAGGACCTACAGGAGTGGTGTAAGCAGTGGTGGTTCCCAAAGGGGAGATGCTCCTGAACGAAAGGGCTGACAATCCCCTGCTTCCAGCATTCCCTAGCTGCGTGATCTTGGGCTGGTTACTTAGCTGCCACCCTGGGCTCAGCTTCCTCCTCTGTACAGCGGGGATGGAAACTGTACCCACCTCAAGAAGCCTTTGAAGTTTACATGAGTCAATATTTGTAAAGTGCTCAAAACAGGCCTCACACAAAGGAAGCCTTGTCTAAGGGGTGACTGTCTTGTTAGTGGTGGGCTGCTGAGCCACACCCTTCCTGGCAGCTCCATAGTAGAAAGATTCTGGTGACCACTGCCCTTAGCAGGATGGGACGACTGAGAAAGAGGATCAGGGCCTTTTCCTGCTGTCCAGCTGGGGCATTCTGGCTCTCCCTACCCACTGAGGAAACAGAATCAGTCAGGACTCTGAACTAGGATGGATGCACACAGGCCCACCGGGACCATGGGGCCAGCTGGGGCTGGGTGCCCAGTAGCCCAGCATAGTAGAAGGGGTCCTGGACCAATCTCAAGGGACAGAGGATGATATTTAAAGTTACATTAATAAAAAGCAAGAGAGTCATCATCATGGGGGAAAACCCAGAGCCTGTGGACTTCCTCATCTGATTACTCCAGTATTTCATAGCACAGCTTTAATTTAGAATTACAGAAAGGGCTCTAGATGGGCCTATCTGGTTGTAGTAAAATTTCTTGTAACACTGGAGGGCAACATCTTACTAAAAGGGATATCCTCATATTTGGGGGCAACCTTAGGGCTGGTACTCCCTTCTCCTTGAGTAAGCCCGGATCATATTTGGGAGATTTCAACTGTTAATTCCCAAGCCTGTGGAAATGTATTTGGTGGGTGAGTGTGTATTTATTAGCATGTGCAAGGCCCTGGGTTTGATCCCCAGCACCAAACAACCACCACCACCACTGCCACCACCACTACCAAAACACCAAGCCAACTCAATGACTCTGTTTATGTTTTTTTTTTTTTTTTTTAATACCAGGGATTGAGCCCAGGGGAACTTAACCACTGAGCCATACCAAAGCCCTTTTTATTTAATTCTTAAAACTTGAGACAGGGTCCAAGTTGCTGAAAGCCTTGCTAAGTTGCTGAGGCTGGCTTTGAACTTGCAATCCTCCTGCCTCAGGCACCCAAGCCACTGGGATTACAGGCATGTRCCACCGCACTGGCCCTTATGGTACTTTGACCTGGTAAGAACTGGGCACTTCAGACTGGAAAAATGGCCTTTTCAGAAACCTCAACAAATATGGACTGTCAACTCTGAGAAGTTACRATAGTGCATCAGCTTGGTTAGGCTCTGGAATCTATTCAATTAAACATGAATCTAGTGTTGCTGTGAAGGTAGTTTTGTAGATGTGGTTAGGTTAACACCTATGATCAGTTGACTGTAAGTACAGGAGATGACCCTTGATGATGTGATTGAGCTGTACTCAGTCAGTCAAGAGGCCTTAAAAGCAAACATCAGGGATCCCCACAGAAGGCAACAGCTTCTTTTCAAGAGTTCCCAGCCTGCTGGCTTGCAGATTTCAAACTTGTTTAGTCAGTCTCTACAATCATGCAAGCTAATTCACTGAAATCAATCTCCTCTCTTTTTTTTGCAGTGCTAGGGATGGAACCAGGGCCTTATTCATGCTAGGGAAGCACTGAGCTACATYCCTAGCTCCTGAAATAAATCTCCTCTCTGTCCTCCCATGACATTTACTCTGTTTCTTTGGTAAAATCCTGATGATATTGGAACTAAGCAGGTGAGTGTGGTGTGACTTGCTTCAGTTCAAACCCTATACCCACTATTTACTTATTCACTGTGTGATATTGCGCAATTGCTTGATCCCTGGTAGGTCTATACTCTAAGAGTAGACTTTAGTTGGACATGGTGTCACATACCTGTAATCCCAGAAATTTGTGAGGCTGAGGCAGGAGAATCGCTAGTTCAAAGCCAGCCTTATGGTGAGGTGCTAAGCAACTCAGTGAGACCCTGTCTCTCAATAAAATACAAAATAGAGCTGGGGATGTGGTTCAGTGGTCAAGTGACCCTGAGTTCAATCCCTGGTACGCCCGTCCCCCCMAAAAAAAAGAATAGCTAACACTGGGCTGTGGTTGTGGCTTAGTGTTAGAGCGCTTGCCTGGCACAATTGAGGCACCGGGTTGGATCCATAGCACCACATAAAAATAAATAATATAGGTATTATATCTATCTACAATTTAAAAATATTTAAAAAAATAGCTAACATTGACATGGCAAAGCTTATTCTAAGTGCTCAACATATATTAACTCTTTTTAATTTTCTTTTTCTGTGGTGCTGGGAATGGCACCCAGGCCTTGTGTATCCTAGGCAAGTGCTCTACCACCAAGCTACACCCCCAGCTCCTATTCTTTCTTTCTCTCTCTCTCTCTCTCTTTTTTTTTGGTACCTGGGATTCAACTCAGGGCCGCTCGACCATTGAGCCACAACCCTAGCCGTATTTTGTATTTTATTTGGAGACAGGGTCTCACTGAGTTACTTAGCACCTCAATTTTGCTGAGGCTGGCTTTGAACCCACGATCTTCCTATCTCAGCTTCCTGTGCTGCTGGGATCACAGGCCTGCGCCACTGTGCCTGGCTACCCCCAGCTCCTATTAACTCATTTAATCATCACAACAACCCAAAGGGGTTGGACTGTCATTACACATATTTTACAGTCAGGGAAACTGAGGCTCTAAGAAGTCATGTGACTTGCTCAAGGTCACCCAATGAGTAAAATGCTGAAGTGTTTAGCACACTTAGCGTTTATGGTAAACACTCAGCCTGTTCATAATGTGACATAAATGATTATGAAGCCTTAATTTAAAAAATACCCGTCTTCAACTCTACCAGTCCATCAAAAAAATCTTCAAAAGCATGATGGCCACCTGAGCCAGCAATTCCACTCCTAGTGGGATACCCTTATGCAATGAAAAGAACTGCCCAGGAAACAAATAGGGCTACATGAGAAATTCCCGACAAACTTAAATGTCCTTCCATGGGTGAATGGATAAACAAACTGTGATCCATCTATACAATGGAATATTATTTAGACATAAAAAGAAGTGAACTATGGACACAGCAAACAATACAGATACACTTCAAATGCATTATGTTAGTGAAAGAAGCCAGACTCAAAAGGCTGTGTGATTCCATTTTCTGTGACCTTCTGGAAAAGACAAAAGTATTGGAACAGAAAGCAGATTAGTTGTTGCCGGGGGTTGGCAAATGGAGCAGGAGAATTTTTTATGATGGAAATGTTCTATATCTTGATTGTGGGGGACGTTACATAACTGTATATGTTCAGAACTGTACACTAAAAGGGAGGATTTTACTGTGTGTAAATTATAGCTCAACAAAATACAACAAAAAAGGACAGAAAAGAAAAATTAAAAACCCCAAACATGCCAGGTAAGATAGGATAAGCTTGGGAACCTCATCTGGGGTTCCTGACACAGCGGAAAGTTGCTAACCAGTCCTGGCCTGCCCTGGCTGGTCTCGCCTTCCTTCACAGGCTCAGAACCAGCAGGGGCACACACCCCAAAACAAGCCAAGTCAGGTTCTGGGAAAATCCACATCCTACCTTACCTGCATGCGGGAAATACAGAAAGAGCTTGTGAAACAGACATCACCAAACACATTAGATCCTGGCCATCCAAATGACCCTGGGTTCCCCAAACCTGAGGCTCTGATCAGCCTTCCATGCTAGWGCTTAAGACCTCTCTGCATTTCCCTCTTGAGAATCTTTAAGTAGGAATCTTGCTACAACTGGCTAAGCCAGCACTAAACAGATCCTTCACCGGTTACCATCAGGAATGCATCAGCCACTGTGCTAGGGATGTGAAGACACAATTAGAGTCTAACTGTCCCTATGGTCAGGGCCACAGGACAGTGTCATCAGGGGTTTGAACAAAGTGGCCAGTCCTCTTTTCTGAGGGTAGATTGGATTTCTGCTGACAGATTGGTTACTGGAATCCAGATGAGGCAAACAAGGGGTTCCTCAAGCTTGCAACACTCATCAAAAACAGGGGAAGCGTGGCATGGTGGGGGTGCTGAAGCCTCAGCTACTAAGCGGCTGAGCAGGAGGATCACTGAGCACAGGAGTTCCAGGGGCAGCCTGAGCAACATCTCAAAACCCAAAACAGAGGGGGCACTGGGGCTGCAGCTCAGAGGGAAGACTATGTCTTTAGACTGTAGAAGGCCCTGGGTTTGTTGCCCAGTACCACATACAGCCCCCACCCCAACCAAAACCAAATAACAACAACAACAAAAGAATTCTATTTCCCAAGGCTGCTTCTGCCCTTCTATGATATGAGCTTCTTGGGGGTGATGAGGGGGTGGAAATTATTTGTATGCCTAGCTGGTGCCCAGCATGTAGGTGGCACAACAAAGATTTGTTGCCTGCTGAGTAAGTGTGGGGTTCATAAAAGCAGTCACCAAAGGGAATTTCCAGAACATTCTGAGTTCATGGGAATAGGTGTGAAATTTCCACAAAATGACATCTGTTTGAACACCATAATGCTTTGCCTAACTGGAACCCAGATATACAGACTAACCTACTCAGATCACATCAGAGAAGCAGGGAATTGGCAGAAAAGGGAAGTGGCAAAATGTGGCTA